CAGGCGGGCACTCTTCTGTCCCCTGAATCCACTTACCAGGGGAGCTTACTGTAGAGTGGATTACCCTGGATGGTGCCGGGGAGGAGACACTGGGCCTCTTGCCAGGGCTGGGCCTAGGAAGATTTGGCCCTCAGGTCAGGATCCTCGTCTGGGTACATGATCTGATGAGAGAGGTTTAGGCCTGATGTCAAAATGCCATTCTCCGGGGCACCTATCACTGCAGCCAAGAGATGCCAGTCCCGAAATCCTGGTGCCGCATGACAAGGTGTGAGGCCAGCTGACACATGTCCAGAACCACAAGAAAGGGGCAGGCTACAGGAGCCAAGATGCCCATACCTGGATCCCAAAACAATGGAGAGTGTGGCCCCCAAGGGAGCCGAGGCTTGCTGAGGCTGCCCCCCAGGAGAAGGCTGGCACACAGGCTTTCTGAGAGGTAGCACAGTGTGGGACCAGGGCACGGTGTGCAAGGAGCTTGTCCTGGTAGGTAGGACCAAGGCCTCACCTTCCCACGGATTGGCCATCTGTGAGACCCAGAGCTGGGCAGGTGCGCTCGAGGACATGTGAAGCCATGGCCGCCATGTTCCCCAGGGTAGAGGAATGGATGTTGGGTGAAACACATGCATGCAACCAAGCATGCTGTGCACTGCCCGCCGTACAGGGTGGGGGGCTCTCCCTGCCCCTGCTGAGACTTTTTCCCTGGATAACTCCTTTAAGTCTAGAGTGTCAGGGCGGGAGCCCCAGGGCCATTGCCTGTTGTGCCCAGGTTCTTGAGATTCCCCTCCTAGACCCAGTGGGCCCTTGCTCTCTCAGCAGCTCGAGGGATCAGGCAGGGGAGCTCCCAGCTGCCCCGAGGGGGCCCAAACCCCTGGAGTCAGGTGCATGCGACAGGAAGTCAGGTGCATGCGACAGGAACTCTGGGCCCTTCTGCCCAGGGCACCTTGCCAAGTGCCAGGGCTTCAGGAACAGCTGAGGGCTGAGGGGAGAGCCACCAGTGGTCCCACGGGGCCCACGTCCACCATCTGGATGGGCACATGGGGCACACCATGAAGCAGCAAGATCCCTCAGCTGAACTGGGTGACGGTGGCGTCCCTGCACTTTCCGGTCCTTGTAAGGGACCTGGCCCATCTTTCGCTTCCCCTGCATGTGGGATGGCCCAAGGGCAGACCATCAAGGGGGAAGTCCACCCTCTCCGGACATCCAGGGTTCCTAGCCCTATTCCCATGCAGCCACCACCCAGACACGGGCCTCATGAACCCACCCCAACAACGTCTGTGGCCTCCCTCCAAGCACACTTGATTCCACTCACCTACCATGGTTGTGGCCATGCCGAGACACTGGCCACCACAGCTCATGAAAGACAAGATCAGGGTTGAAAAGCAATGGCTCTTCGGAAGGCATCCCTGGACTAAGAATGGGTCAGCAGTCAAGGCCAAATGCTTGATCCTCTCGTGGGCACCTGGAGGCCCACAGTCAGTTCGTAGCCACAGTGGGGAGCCTTGAGGGATCGGTCACCTCAAACCCCAATCTGCAGCACTTGCCCAAGGCCCCAAGCATCCTCGGGATGTTGACCACGGCATGATCCCCTCACTGGGCCTCAGCGTAATCCTATTGAGCATGATTTTTAGGTCATCATCTCTCTTCGAGACAACATGAGTTCTCATCATTGATCCCAGGAAGGCACTGGCAACACAGGCAGGAGCTCTCCCACCCCCGAACCTGCTTACCGGTGGTGCTTGCTGAAGTGGGGTATGCCTGGGGGGAGGGGGGGGCACGAGTTGTTGGGCATCTTGCAGTGGCTGAGCCTAGCAAGATTTGGCCCTCAGAGCAGGATCTTTGTCTGGGGCCAGGATCTGTGGAGAGAGAGGTAGGCAAGGTGTCAAAATGCACAGCTCCAGGGCACCTGCCATTGTAGCCAAGAGCTGCCAGTCTGGAAAGCCTGGCACTGTGTGGCAAAGCGTGAGGCAGCTGGCATATCGTGGGGGACAGCACGGAAGGAGCAGGCTACAAGAGCAGTAATGCCCATACCTGGATCCCTAAACAACAAAGAGCATGGCCCCCATGAGAGCCAAGCCTTTCTGATGCTGCCTTCCCAGAAGCCCCACAGGCTTCCCAAGAGCGCCCGCCTGTGTCGCCAGTGCCTTCCTTGGATCAATGATGAGAACTCATATTGTCTCGAAGAGAGATGATGACCTAAAAATCATGCTCAATAGGATTACGCTGTGGACATGAGGCCAGGCATGAAGGGTGCGTACCCAGGTAGGTAGGGTCAGGCCCTTGCCTTCCCATGGATTGGCCATCTGTGGACCTGGAGCTGGGCAGGTGCCCTCGAGGACACAGGGAGCCATTGCCCCATGGCTCCCAGGGCAGAGGAATGGATGCCAGGACATCTGCATGCACGCTACCAAGGCATGCCGCCCATTGCCCCCCGTGTAGGGGGCCCTCTCCTGGCACCTGCTGGCCTTCTTCCCCAGGATCACTCCCTCAAGTCTAGAGTGCCGCATTGAGAGGCCCATGCCATTGCCTGTTTTACCCAGGGACTGAAATTCCCTTCCTAGGCCCAACAGGCCCTTCCTGTCTTGGCGGTCCAATAGATTGGGTAGAGGATCTTCCCAGATGCCCACGGGGCCCCAAGATCCCTGGGAGTCAGGTGCATGCTACAGGAGCTCTGGGCTCTCTCTCCCAGGGCAACTTGCCAAGGGCCTGGGCTTCAAGAACAGCCCAGGGCCAAGGGGGACACGGACCATTGGCCCCAAGGGGCCCACGTCCACCCTCTGGACAGGCCCATGGGGCACACCATGAAGCAGCAAGAGCCCTCAGCTGAACGTGGGTTGACTATGGCTTCCCTGCACTTTCCGGTCCTTGTCAGGGACCCGGCCAAACTTCCACTTCCCCTGCATGTGGGATGGCACAAGGATGGAACTCCACCCTCTCTGGATATCTAGGGCTCCCGGCCTGATGCCCATGTGGCCGCCACCCAGACAGTGGACTCACGGACCCACCCTGATGGCATCTGCAGCCTCCCTCCAAGTCCAGTGGCTTCCACTCACCAGCCATGGTTGAGGCCACACCGAGTCCCTGGCCACCACCACCCACTGAAAGAAACAAGGAGACCAGGGTTGCTAAACAATGGCTCCCCTGGAGGCGTCCTGGGAGGTGGAATGGATCGGCAGGCAAGGCCAAAGTCCTGAGCCCCTCTTGGGCACGTGTAGGTCCACAGTCACAGCAGGGAGCCTCGAGGGATCAGTCGCCTCAAGCCCCAAACTGCAGTGTTCCCCCAGGACCCTGAGCATCCTCGGGATGCTGACCCCAGGATGTCCCCTCCATTGGGCCTCAGCATAATCATATTGAGCATGATATTGAGGTCATCATCTCTCTTTGAGACAATATGAGTTCTCACCATTGACCCAAGCATGACAGTCGTTATGCAGGCAGGTGCTCTCCCGTCCCCCGAACCTGCTTACCAGGGATGCTTACTGTACAGTGGGATGCCCCTGGGGGGTGGGGCAGAGGCACAAGATGTTGCATTTCTTGCCATGTCTGGGCCTAGCAAGACTTGGCCCTCAGGGTGGGATCTTTGTCTGGGGACATGATCTGGGGAGAGAGGGGTAGGCCAGGTGTCAAAATGCCCTTCTCTAGGGCACTTGCCCCTTCAGCCAAGAGCTGCTAGTCCTGAAAGCTTGGTGCCACATGGCAAGGTGTGAGGTCAGTGGGTACATGGGGGGGACCACAAGGAAGGGACAGGCTACAGGAGCAGAGATGCTCTTACTTGGACCCTGAAACAATAGAGAGCATGGCCCCCAAGGGAGCTGAGCCTTGCTGAGGCTGCCCCCCAAAAGGCACGGCACACACACTTCCCAAGAGGTAGCATGCTGTGGGCACAAGGCCCGGCATGCAGGGTACATACCCTGGTAGGTAGGGCCAGGCCCTTGCCCTCCCACGTATTTGCCATCTGTGACACTCAGAGCTGGGCAGGTGCCCTCGAAGACAAGGGGAGCCACAGCCCCCAGGGCCCCCAGGGCAGAGCAAAGGATGCCGGGCCAACCACCTGCACACAACCAAGGCATTCCACCCACTGCCCACCATGCAAGGGGGCTCTCTCCCTGCACCTGCTTAGCCTCTTCCTGGGATCATTCCCTCAGGTCTAGAGTGCCATGGCAAGAGGCCCAAAGCCATCTTCTGTTTGCCCAGGGTGTCAAGATTCCCTTCCTAGGCCTGTTGGGCTCTTCCTGTCTCGGTGGCCCAGGGATTGGGGTGGGAAGCTCCCAGCTGCCCGAGTGGGCTCAAGCTCCTTGGAGTCGGGTGCATGCCACAGGAGCTTTGGCTTCCTGCCTGGGGCATCCTGCCAAGGCCCTGGGCTTCAGGGACAGCCCAGGGCCAAGGGGGACAGCAGCAAGTGGCCCCAAGGGGCCCATGTCCACCATCTGGAGGGGCCCATGCAGCACACCATGAAGCAGCAAGAGCCCTCAGTTGAACGTGGGCTGTCGGCGGTGTCCCTGCACTTTCCGGTCCTTGTCAGGGACCCAGCCAAACATTCCCTTCCCCTGCAAGTAGGATGGCCAAAGGGCAGGATTTCAAGGGGGAAGTCCACCCTCTCCAGACATCCAGGGTCCCCTACCCAATGCCCATGCAGCAGCCACCCAGACATGGGCCTCCCAAACCCACTCCAATGGCATCTGCGGCCTCGCTACAAACCCAGTGACTTCCACTCACCTTCTATGGTTGAGGCTGTGCCGAGACCCTGGCCACCATGGCCTGCTGGAAAACACAAGGAGACCGGGGTTGCTAAGCAATGGCTCCCTGGGAGGCGTCCTGGGAGGGGGAATGGTTCAGCAGGCAAGGCCGAACACCTGAGCCCCTCTTGGGCACCTGGAGACCCACAGTCAGACCACAGCCACAGCAGAAAGCCTCAAGAGATTGGTCGCCTCAAGCCCCAAACTGTGGTGCTCCCCCAGGGCCCCGAGCATCCTCAGGATGCTAATCCCGGGATGGTCCCCTCCATTGGGCCTCAGCATAATCCTATTGAGCATGATATTGAGGTCATCACCTCTCTTCGAGACAATATGAGTTCTCATATTTGACCCATGCAAGGCAGTGGTGACACTGTCAGGCACTCTCCCATCCCCTGAACCTGCTTAAAGGGTGCTTACTGTAGAGCGGGATACTCTGGAAGGGGGTTGCAGGTGTACAAGACACTGGGCCTCTTGCTGTGACTGGGCCTAGCAAGACTTGGCCCTCAGGGCAGGATCTTCGTCTGGAGATGGGATCTGTGGAGAGAGGGGTAGCCCAGCTTTCAAAATGCCCTGACTTGAGTCACCTGCCCTTAGTCAAGAGCTGCCACTCCCGAACACCTGGCGCCCCATGGCAAGGCCTGAGGCCAGCCGGCACACAGCAGGAGACTGCAAACAAGGGGTAGGCTACCGGAGCAGAGAGGCCCATACCTGGACCCTGAAACAATGGAGACCGTGGCCCTAGAGGGAGCTGAGCCTTGCTGATGCTGCCCCCCAGGAGAAGGCCTGGCACACAGGCTTCCAGAGATGTAGCACCCTGTGAGCGTGGGACCTGGCATGAAGTGTGCTTGCCCTGGTAGGTAGGGCCAGACCCTCGCCCTCCCACTGATTGGCCATCTATGGCACCCAGAGCTGGGCTGGTTCCCTCGAGGACACAGGGAGCCATGGCCCCCAGGACTCCCAGGCCAGAGGAATGGATGCTGGGCCAACTGCATGCATGCAATCAAGGCATGCCACCCACTGTCCGCCATGCAGGGGGGCCCTCTCCTGGTACATGCTGGGCCTATTCCCTGGGATCACTCCCAGAGGCCTAGAGTGCCACCGTGAGAGGCCCAGGACCATCGCCTCTTGCGCCCAGGGACTTGAGATTTCCCTCCTAGGCCTGGTGGGCCCTTTGTGTCTCGGTGGCCCAAGGGATCAGAGAGGGGAATTCCCCAGCTGCCCCAAGGGGACCCAAGCTCCTTCGGAGTCAGGTGCATGCAACTGGAGCTCTGGACTCTCTCACCATGGACACCTTGCCAAGGGCCTGGGTTTCAGGAACAGCCCAGGGCTGAGGGGGACAGCCGCTAGTGGCCCCAAGGTGCCCACATCCTCCATCTGGATGGGTTCATGGGGCACACAATGAAGCAGCAAGAGCCCTCAGCTGAACATGGGCTGACGGCGGTGTCACTGCACTTTCCGGTCCTTGTCAGGGACCCAGCCAACCTTTCACTTCCCCTGCACATGGGATGTCCCAAGGGCGGACCTTTAAGGGGTAAGTCCACCCTCTCCGGACTTCCAGGGCCCCTGGCCCGATGCCCACATGGCCGCCTCCCAGGCATGGGCTTCCCTAACCCACCACGATGGTGTCTGTGGCCTCCCTCCAAGCCCAGTGGCTTCCACTCACCTGCCATGGTTGAGGCTGCACCGAGACCCTAGACACCATGGCCCACTGAAAGACACAAGGAGACCAGGGTTGCTAAGCAATGGCTCTCTGGGTGGCGTCCTGGTAGGGGGAATGAGTCGGCAGGCAAGGCCAAAGGCCTGAGCACCTTTGGGCACCTGGAGGCCCACAGTCAGACCATAGCCACAGCGGGGAACTCCAAGCGATCGGTCACCTCAAGCCAAAAACTGTGGTGCTCCCCCAGGGCCCCAAGCATCGTCGGGATGCTGACCCGGGGATGGTTCCCTCCACTGGGCCTCAGCGTAATCCTATTGAGCATAATTTTTAGGTCATCATCTCTCTTCAAGACAATATGAGTTCTCATCATTGACCCAAGCAAAGCATTGGTACCTGGGAAGGCACTCCCCATCCCCCAAACCTACTTACCAGGGGTGCTTACTGTAGAGCAGGATGCCCCGTTGGGGTATGTTGGCACCTGACGTTGGGCCTCTTGCTAGGGCTGGGCCTAGCAAGACTTTGCTCTCAGAGTGGGATCTTCGTCTGGGTACAGGATCTGGGGAGAGAGGGGTAGGCCAGCTGTCAGAACGCCCTGCTCTGGGGCACCTGCCCCTGTGGCCGAGAGCTGCCAGTCCCAAAAGCCTGGCACCACGTGGCAAGGCCTGAGGCTGGCTGGCACACGGTGGGATCCACAAATAAGGGGCAGGCTACAGGCTATAGCTGCCCATACCTGGACCCCAAAACAATGGAGAGTGTGGCTCCCCCCAGGGGAGCTGAGCCTTGCTGATGCTGCCCCCCAGAATTCCCGGCATACAGGCTCCCGAGAGTTAACATGTGTGGTCACAGGGCCCAGCATGAAGGGGGTGTGCCCTGGTAGGTAGGGCCAGGCATTCACCCTCCCACCGATTGGCCATCTGTGGCATCCACTGCTGGGCAGATGCCCTTGAGCACATGAGGAGCCACGGTCTCCAGGGCCCCCAAGGCAGAGGAATAGATGCTGGGCCAACTGCATGCGTACAACAAAGGCATGCTGCCCACTGCCCACCATGCAGGGGGGACCTCTCCCTGCACCTGTTGGGCATCTTCCCTGTGATCACTCCCTCAGGTCTAGAGTGCTGCCGCAAGAGGCCCAGGGTCATCGCCTCTTGCCTGCAGGGACTTGAGATTCCCCTCCTAGGCCTAATGGGGCCTTCCTGTCTCAATGGCCAAAGGGATCAGGGAGGGGAATTCCCCAGCTGCCCCAAGGGGCCCCAAGATCCTTGGGAGTCAACGCATGAAAGGAGCTCTGGGCTCTCCTGCCCAGGGCAACTGGCCAAGTCCCAGGGCTTCAGGAACAGCCCAGGGCTATGGGAGATAACTGCCTGTGGCCCCAAGGGGTCCACGTCCACCATCTGGATGGGCCCATGGGGTACACCGTGAAGCAGCATGAGCCCTGAGCTGAACATGGGCTCACTGCAGCATCCCTGCACTTTCCGTTCCTTGTCAGGGACCTGGCCAAACTTTCGCTTCCCCTGCACCTTGGATGGCCCAAGGGTGGACCTTCAAGTGGTAAGCCCACCCTCTCCAGACATCCAGGGCTCCCGACCCCATGACCATGCGGCCTCCACCCAGACACGGGCCTCCCAAATCCACTCCAATGGCATCTGTGGCCTCCCTCCAAACCCAGTGGCTTCCACTCACATGCTATGATTGAGGCTGTGCTGAGACCCTGGTCACCATTGCCCACTGAAAGACACAAGGAGCCCAGGGTTGCTAAGCAATGGCTCCCCGGGAGTCGTCCTGGGAGGGAATGTGTTGGTAGGCAAGTCTGAAGGCCTGAGCCCCTCTTAGGCACCTGGAGACCCACAGTCAGTCCACAGCCACAGTGGGGAGCCTCAAGGGATTGGTCGCCTCAAGCCCCAAACTTCAGTACTCCCCCATCACCCTAAGCATTCTCGGGATGCTGACTCCAGAATGGTCCCCTCCATTGGGACTCAGCGTAATCTTATTGAGCATGATTTTTAGGTCATCATCTCTCTTCAGGACAATATGAGTTCTCATCATTGACCCAAGCAAGGCACTGGCAATATGGGCGGGTGCTATCCATCCCCCAAACCTGCTTACCGGGGTTGCTTACTGTAGATTGGGATGCCCTGGAGGTGGTGCAAGAGCTTGAGACATTGGGCCTCTTGCCAGGGCTGGGCCTAGCAAGACTTGGCCCTCAGGGCAGGATCTTCATCTGGGGATGGCATCTGGGGAGAGGGGTAAGCCAGCTGTCAAAACGCCCTGCTCCTTGGCACATGCCCCTGCCCCCACAAGCTGCCAGTCTTCAGATCTGTGTTTTTAACCTTGGATTTGTGATTGAAGCATAGCATTCCTGAAAATCTGTGCCTTTTCTTTGATCCCATATGAATGGAACATTTGGTCTCCAAGAGATTTTGAGTATTGTTAATGTTCACCCCCACCCCCGACCGTGTGGAAAGCCAGGCACACAGGGTTCCTGAAGTTTATATTTTTCGGCCATGATTTACTGGGTTTTTGTTTGGGAGCCCCAGTTGGTGTGGCCCAGTCTTGGAAGCTGCGCGGAATAAGCCCCTTGTGGCATTCAAGGTTGTACCATGTTTCGTTTTGAACAGGGTTTGATAGGGCATGGAACACCATGGAAGATCTCCCTTGCCACATTGTCCAAGCAGAATGCCGGGCTTACTACAGAGCATGATGCCCATGCACACACGATTTTGGGCCTCTTCTTGGAGCTCGGTGGTGTTGCATTTGTGTGGGTATGTTGCTTTTCTTCCTTTTCAGAAGTAATCTGTTTAATGAGAAGTAGGATATTTGTCAGAACAACCTTTCTATCTGCGTTATTTTTTGTGTTCTTTTTCTTTATATCTGTATAAACCATTTAATACATGAATATGTTCATAATAAGTGAACCAATGGATGTATAATTATTGTGTATTGGCAAATCCATACATATCTACTTTCTTAAAAACATTGTAAATTGGCCCCTAGTCTTCGTTTATGTTTCTATATCTCTATTATCTATCATCTATCATTTATCTATCTATCTATCTATCTATTATCTATCTATCTATCTATCATCATCATCTATCATCTATCTATCCTCTATTATCTATCTATCTATCTATCTATCTATCTATCTATCTATCTATCATCTATCTATCCATCCATCTATCTGTTCTGTCACAAGTAGGCCTAGCTCTTCTGATTCATTATTTAAACTCTCTGCATTTTCAATAATTTTACTTTTTAGGCTCATTTATTTTTGGCTTCAATTTCATTTTCTTAGTACAATAATTTCTCTCTCATGAAGTGTCAGTGTGATTTTATATGGAATTGTTTTTCAGTAAAACATATTTCCCATCACTAAAATATACTTGTTCCTTATGATCAAGGCAATTTTCAGTCTATTTTTCAAAAGTCATGTTTTTTTTTTTATGTTTTCCTTCCATATTCTGCTAATAGCATTTAAATTGTGATTCATATACTCCATCATCCTGGTGTAAGGTGAGCCTATGTGATCAAAGGAACATGAAGTCATGAGGGAGTTCCTTTCATATTTTGAAGAATTTCCTATTTATTTCTACAAAAGTACCTTTGAAATAGTTTTTGTATTCCTGTTTGTTTCATTCTTTAAGACATAGATTTATTTTCCAAGTACTTTGAACACCAGTGTCCTTATTGGGTAAAACTT